TTTACACAGCAATACAAACATACACAGGCACACACACAAACACGCTTGCAGACGAAAATAGACCAGCTAAATGCTTCACTAAGCTTACGACTATATAAAGGTGTATGATGTATTCACCCGATTTCGTTTAAGGTGATGAAGGACTGGTAGAAGTAGAATTTTCCCACAAATGATATGAGTTGAGTGAATACATCTTATAATTGATTTACTGGTAGTCACGAAAAACAATACTTAATTGGAAAAATAAAGTATAGTACTAAATTGCTATAGCAAAACATACGTTTGCTTCATCGACAATTCCACAAAAAGCATATGATATGGCAAAAAGGACTGTCCTTTCATGAAAATTCACATTTGCCTTGTGACCCAAAAGGCGCTCGTGGCAGTATAGCCGAGTGATTAACGTGTCAATCTCCCATCCTGCAATGTCAAGGTTCGACTCCCGCTGAGGGTGTTGATAAGACCGATGCAAGGTCGAAACTGTTGTCCACTAAATGCCTGGATTAGAACAACTTTTGTGAAAGCAAAGCTATGTTAAATTCAATGGAAACGTCAGCTCAACTCATATCATTTGTGGGAAAATTCTACTTCTACCAGTCATTCATTACCTCAAAACGAAACTGGATGAATACATCTTATAACTGATTTACTGGTAGTCACGAAAAACAAGGTGGGATAAGCAAGTTAGTTGTATGGACTTTGTGTGGGCTAGAAGCGTTTACAAGAATGCTCTTCTGCTCCGATGATATCCTTCAAGCGGTTTCACAGCCGACAGCTCAAACACGTCTTCAGTGCAACCCAACAAGACTATCTCGAGGATTGCGTCAGTTAGAAGATGTCAATAGAACCAAACGGTGGCAGATTGAGGCGGCACAGTCGTCAGCAACTGGTGACCTCGGCCTACGAATCCGCCTGTTGTATACATTTACATGACATGAAAGTGAGGTGAGCAATGACGCACAAAGAAATACATATAAAACTACCCTCTCTCCGTACGGGGTTGTAGAATTCCTGTAGCCTGGTAGAGGAGTGCTGTGTATGATAGTCAGGTGTCTACAGAGCTGCATCGAAATAGCATAAATCCGAGACCCTGAGCCAATCCTACTTTCGACAAAGGGAAGAAACGGATTTGAGAGGTGGAACGAAGCCCAGAAGGAGAGATTAAGACGAAGAAGAAGGTAAACCAAGGCAAGAATGTGTGGAAAGGCTCTCTTTCCAATGAGTTGAGGAACCTGCTCAATTAGCAACATTCTATTATAAGAAAGTGCAGATTGGCGATCAGACTTGAGCTAAAAGAAAGGAGTTTATGCGAAGAAAAGTTGGGTCTCGATGAATCTCTTATTTCATAATTGTTGACCTTAATTCCATTTCAAGTGAAAGTGTTGGGGAAAGAGATTCAAAAATTGCTTCCACCAAAAGACGACGACGAATTCCTCTTGACCAGTTGTCGTTTGGCTTTACTGGAAGATTCATCCTGACGCTGTTTCCGAGGCAATCTCCTTCGATTCCGGTGAAAAGGTAATAAGCTTTTGTCCGTCATATGACGGACATCATCAGTGCAAGTTATCATCGTCAAAACAAGATTTAAGCTAATGAGTCACCGGGACATCCCTAAAAAGTTGTATATATACTCTACATCTGGCCTCTTTGATCAAGTATAAAGTGATTTGGTTAGTT